GTCATTTTACATTTTAGATACAGCCAGCTGCTCCCTTCTCCTGACTACAAAGACACCAAAGCTTGAAGCAAAGGCCAGGGAAGCTTCTCTCAGGTTAGTCCTTAGAACTAGTTTCAGAGAGGTGCCCAGAAGGCGGTTTTCTAGCTCACAACGGTAACAAAGCATATGCGCTTGTACTTGATTTTAAACAGACGTATCAAGGAACCAGTCAGGGTTTTACTGCAGTGTACACAGCACCTAGGAGGAGGTAAAATCCTGGCTATGTATATGCAAATGAAGCCAACTCAGCTTCATGACAGATCTAGGGCTGTAGGACTTCACCAGCACACAAGCTGTTTAGACATGGCTGTATGTAGTTTCATTAACAGTGAGAAAGTGTTTAAAGGAAAACAACAAATTTTATATAAACCGTGAAAAAAAATATAAAAAATTGGATTTTGTACTCGTCGTAAAATCCTTTTCTCCAAGTTCTTTAAAGGACATAGTGAAGATTGTTAGATCTTCTACCAATGGGTTATACTGCCACCTGCAGGAGTAGGACAATAGCCACACAACACAAACAGCCTAGGGGCGGCCCCGGCTGGCGACCAACTCCCCCATTTGCCAACGCAGCCTCAGTTAGTAGCAAACAGTGAACAAACCCATCAGCAACAGCCAATACAAAGGGCGGGTGCTGTGTCCTTCAATGAACAAAGAGAGTAGGATTTTACGGTGAGTACAAAATCCAATTTTCTCTTCAGTTCACAGCGAAGATCATTGGATCTTGTACCACTGGGACGCCAGCAAGCAGTGATCCAAAACAGGATGGGTAAGAAGGAAAACCCACAGGAGCAAAAGGTAATGTTAGAACATCAAACTGACACCCTTTAGGACCTCACGCCCAAAACTGGTATGCGGAGATGCAAAAACATCAACCTTATACAACTTGGTAAAAATGTAAACAGAGCAAATGGCGGCTTTACAGAATTGTGTGACTAAAGCATGATTGGCAAAACCCAGGAAGCACTCACTGTCCGAGTAGAATGAGCCGTGATAGAAAACGGAGGTTGTGAGCCCTGGATAAAATAGGCCTGAGAGATAGTTTGAAAAATCCACCTAGAAATCATAGCTGCAGAAGTGGCCTGACCTTTGCGAGAGCCATTCGTTGAGACTGTGTTAGCACAGGTGTCAGTATAACCCAGTGGTAGAAGATCTAACGACCTTCACTGTGTCCTTCAATGAACGGAAGAGAAATATACATACAGTTTGTTCCAGGTGTCCTCATCCAGGTTCGATGATGTCAAAAGGTCTTCTGTAGATCCTAAATGCTGCAGAGAAGAGTGCCACATAATAACATGGAGGTACTCTCTGCAGCATAGTCTTCGGAGACCAGGGCCAGGGGTAGTTGGTGAAGCCCTGACACCTGGGCTCACAGAAAGCTTTCTAAATGATGCTGGTCGTTCAGCTTAGAACAGAAATGGCTGTACTGGAGGTCAGATGAATTTAGCAGCTGGAGAGGCTATTTTTTGCCTAAGGTGGAATTGGGCTTCAATTCTAAATAAAACAGGTTCATAGTCAACGTAGTTTACGTATGTAAGTACATTAGGTCTGTTGTTAGGAGTTGTGAAATACCTTTTAACAGTCTTTAAGGCTGGTGGGGCTGAGTGGTGGAGAGCTTTTGTTTTACTACTGCAAACAGCACAAGACTACACCAGAATTTAAACAGGTCACCTCAAATATACACTAAAACCTTCAATGGAACGAATGAACAAACGAACGAGAGAGAGATATCCTGTCTATAGAAACCACAACAAACCTGTGAAACCAGGATTCAGGTGGACCGAAGAAGCTTTAAAAAAAAAAATTATAGCAGGTAGTGAGTGCCTGGTTGAACTTGGGTAGCAAGTTTTAGACTATATGGCCAAGTATGTGGTCACCCCTCCCAATCATTGAGTTCAGATGTTTTCAGTGAAGGGTACTTTTGATGCTACAGAATACAAAGACATTTTGGACCTTGTCGGAACATTTGGGGGAAGGTCTTCTCTATTCCAGCATGGCTGTGCCAATGTGCAAAAAGCCAACTTCATAAAGACATGGTTTGACGAGTTTGGAGAGGAGAAACTCTAGCATAGCTGCACAGAGCCTTGACCTTAACCCTATTGAGTATCTTTGTGATGAACTGAAATGCTGATTACAAGCCAGGTCTTCTCACCCAACATCAATGTCTGACCTCACAAATGGTCTTTTGCCTGGATTGGCAAAAATTTCCACAGAAACACTACAAGCCTTTCCACAGGAGAGGAAGCTGTTGTAGCTGCAAAGGAGGTGTGGTGGTGGGGGCTCATAAGATGTCTCCATGGTTTTGGGAAGGGATGTCCAACAAACTCATATAGGTGTTACAGTCAGCAAACCTTTGGCCATATAGTGTAAGATAGCTTTATACACAATTAGACAGATCAGCGGCTTCATCAACGTCATTTCACTTTCTTACCAGATGCTGTGGGTCCAGGGATCGGAGCGGCTTTCCTTCGTCGTTTGATGTCCCCCATAAACAAGGATCCTAAATGGACACTCGTTTGTCTGAAAGTAATTAACAAAACAAAACTGTTAACAAAGAGGGGGAAAAGACGTCAGGCAAAATATACGTCCTCTATAATCTGGCTTTAAATCAGACGCGGCTCTGCGAATATGGGCTGCATAATACGGTCACCAATCTTGTTTATATCGATACATAATTATGTTTGTTGACAAGCGCTCAGCGCATAAACATACCGTCATAAATTGTTACTGGAATGAATAATATAAAAGGAATGCTTTTTAATTTTAAGAGCTGGCAATCTTCCTGACTAGATGTAAAAAAATAAATAAAGAATTGTGCACTGAAGCCGCGTGACAGGTAAATGGCTAAGATTAATTATCTGAAGAGATCACGATACGGTTTTCTAGGTTATCAATTGGTAACTAACACCCTACTGTCACATCGGCAGTTATTACAAGGAAACGTGGCAGCCGTTCATTTTAAAAGTGATATGCCAAAGAAAATTATTTGCGATGGTATGCAATATAAAATACAATCATCTAATTGCTATAAGCATCCCTATTCAATCAGATTTTTTTAATTTAATCCTGAAAACCGATGTCTCTGTCTTTGCTCCCCCATAGCTGATAAAGCAAAGCACTACAAAGAGCCAGACACTTGCAGAGCTAGAGTTTAAAGTATAAAGTATAAGTGCAGATTTTAAAAAAAACAATTGCTGCTTATATATGCAGACAAACAACATCTAGGCTTTTTATGACTCAGAGAGGGTCATCAAGGGTCCAGCCATTGTAAATCTCATGTTTAGTTTAAAGTGAACCTACACTATTTGGAAAACAGCTTAAAGTGAACCTCTGGTAAGGCTATGAATATTCATTAAGAAAGAAGGAAGGAAAGAAAAGGAGGGAAAGAAAGAAAATAAAGTAAAGAAAGAAAAGAAGAAAGGAAAGAAAGAAAGGTTTTGGCAGTGAAAGAGTACATTTTTTTAAAACGCCAGCTAATGTAAAAAAATATCGTAGCAAAACGGCACAGGTCCTGCAGTGTGTATTGTGGCGCGATGTGGTAAGGCAGCCCATTAATTTGACCGCAGCTACATTGCACAGAAAGAAGTACATGCACCTTTTTCTGGTAGTAGGTATCCATGCGATGTGGTCCAATACAACTCACATGTGATCGCTAAGTGTGTTGGGGTGCCATTAAAAAATAACAGCACTGTGTGATTCAGCATTGCGTATGGCATTGCACAAGCTCCAGCATCGCACAGATATGAACGGAGGCTAAAAGACAAAATACTACTGGGACCTAATTCATCTTCAAAGATGACGAGAGACTCTGAAGTCGGGTTTCAGTTGGTTTCTAACAGCTTACTGATTAGGTACATTAGAAGGCTGGCAGGCTGCCAAGTTATTGCTACCAGAGAATAAAAAAACTTCGATATCAGTGCTTCTGTTGCAAACTGTCTCCACAATGCCTATAGCTACAGGGGTAAGTGAGTGCTTTTACTGCTCGTTCAGAATATGTAAATGCTTCAATAGTCATAGTCTGGGCACAGGTGCACTTGAATGTCTTTAACGTTTTGACCCACAGGTGAAACTAATCACAGGGCCCCATTGTGAAAATGTTGATTGGCCTCCAACAGGAAAAAAACAAACACCATTGCACAACATCAAATTACCATGGCAGGTTACAAAGGACTGAAAAGGATGCAGCTGTTATACTGAGGTAATAACGTATCTGTGGAGAGGAAAGGTGGGTGCAGCAGTGTTTGGAGTGGTGAGGAAAATAAAATTTACAGCAGTGCACAGAATGAGTAAGGAATGTACACCAGGGCATACAAAATGGGATGGTGTACTATACAAAATGTATAGCACAGTGCATAGAATGGGACTATTTGGAATGCACTATGTATAATATAAAAAGTATAGGACAGTGCACAGAATAAAACCGTGTGAATTATAGAATGACAATAGGTCTTATATAATGAGCCAATGCAGAGAAGGAAACATACAGCATGTCATACAGAATGAGGCAGTACAGAATGGGGAACAAATAGCATGGCATATGAAAAAAGGTGGTTTTGAATAGGCAATGTAGAGCATGGTATATGGAATAAGGCTGTACAAAATAGGAAATGTACAGCATAGCAGACTGAATGAAGCAGTGCAGAATAGGGAATAAACAGTATAGCATACAGAACGAGGCGGTGCGAAACCGTACAGCATGGCATACAAAACTAGGTGGTGCTGACCTCATCCAGACCTCCATAACAGAGGGACCCGCTGTGACCGCTCACCCGATTGCTACGGTCACTTGTAAACACAAATTCTGACAGTGGCAAAAGGCTGAGCTGTCACAGTGGAAACTACACTGACGGAGGATAAGAGGGGATATCCCCTTGCTTTGCAAAGGTCTCCTCTTAACAATTACCTACTCTAACCAAAATTATAAAAAAATTGGCTTTATAGAAATGTTGAATGTAGAGCTGCAGCTAACGATTATTTTCAAAATCGATTATGTCGATTAGTTGTTGCAGCCCTAGTTGAATGTCCAACTCTGTGCGTTCCCTCAACAAAAAAAACAAAACAAACTCTTGAAAAGACCTCCCCACAGCAGTATGTTTTCCTCAGTTAAGAGGCAGGGCCATGACCCCCTGTAGTCACAGTCTTCTAAGCACTGATGCTGGGCATCATTGAACTTGGAAGGAGGCTACCTTGGGGTGAAGAAGAAGTATTGCTGGAGGAAGCTTTGCATTGCAGGTGAGTATTGCAGCACATGCTGATATTGTGCATTAAAAAAAAACTCCTTGGCATCAATAAAATTGGTCATTATTCTACCTTCCTCATCTCTCAGTATTCCCCCTAAATTCCTACTTTCATAGCCCCAGATCACAGAGAGGAAGTATATGGTTTCTATAGGCAACACAGTTTCTATTCAGACATCTTATAAATTAAAATCAGCTGTTTTAATGAATAAGTCCTTCTGAGCAATGGCAATAACTATCTAGCATTGTTTCTAATTTATTTATTTTTTCTGTCATTTTAACATCATCATTTATCATGAAAGGCAAGTAAATGCGTGGGATAAAAAATAGAATTGAACTCAGCCAATTGAAGTCAAGGACCTGCCTCACAAGAGTAAGCGCTCGCCTTGCTCGAGTAATTCTAGCAGCAATTGATTATCTGCTAGGCTGCATTGAGATATCTAGATTATTGATCAGTTAGATTATGGCGCTGCGCCGTGCGCGAAACACAAGATTCCTTCGGGCACATGCAATAGAGTTGTTCGTAATAACATTAAGTAAGGACCACTTTGTTACTGTTGTCACCCCTCATGTAGAACACCGCAGTTACTTTTTAATTTAAAATCAATGTAAGTCTGAAAGGCAGGCTTGTTCTTTCATAATAAATGAATCATTTGTCTTTGCAAAGCACGACACTTTGATCAAGAGCCAAGGTGAGAGAGATAGTACTGGTCCCCTCTGTTGTTACCCACAGATAAAAAAAACAAAACAAACTTTGTGTTGGAATTTAGAGGTTTACATACAGTAAAAATAGACCTTGTTAAAGAAAGATGTAGCTTTTAACATGATTTTTTAAAATATTCTTTATTTATCCAAAATGGATTAAAAAAATAGTAAAATACAGCTGTAATTCCCAATCTCAATAAAGAATTCATTTTTTCACATGATTTTCAAACAAGACACCATCACTGCTTTTTTATAACTGCCATGGTCTGAAGCCAGCTTATATGGTAACAGCAACCCAAAGCAGGAGCCCTCATAGATTGTGTATGGTAATGGAGGCGCAAAGACAGGTGCACTTTAATATGCAAATCACAATTTTTGCCTAGAAAGTCAAAGGCTAACCCCCCTCCCACCTTGGCTCCTGAAATCCCATTGGTCCTTTCTGTGAAAAGTGATCAGGCTCTCTGTGGGGAGGGGTTATCGAAATGGTTGAAATGGAACCGGGTACACTGGAGAGTTGACTCCATGAATTGCTTGATTATTTCACTAATTACAGTATTATATGACAAAGCACAGATTTTCAACACCAGCATTTCAGTGCCGATTTGTTTTGGACAAGGTAGCTGGTGACTTAATCACTTACCAAATATTGGCACTGGAATCCGAACATCCCTACCTGTTACCACTCAAGTGTACCAAGAAAAAAATTGTATCTTGAAATCTTTATATTTAATTGCTCCCGTATATGTACATTGTATTGTGTAAACAAAGAAAACAAACTAACTGCCTTTAGGCGATCCCTAAAGACTCATCTCTTCAGGGAAGCCTATCCCACCTCAACCTAAACACATAACCATCACGTTCTCAAACAATTCATCCCCACACAGCTATCTCCTAATGTATCACTTGTCCCTCCCTTTTAGATTGTAAGCCCTCCTTACCATATCGTCTTGAATTGTATTGCAATTGTAATGTCTTCCTTGTATTGTAAAGTGCTGCATAATCCTGTATAATGATAATTATAATATCCTGACTCAGAAATACCTAATTGTCATGTTACATATGCATTCTCATATGCCTTTAAGATAATTTGCTTTATCTGTCTCTGGCATATGTCTCCATCCCTCCCCATAGTTCAGTTTTCCATTGTGTAGATAGCTTCACCATTCTTCATTATTTTCTAGTCTGCATCTCAGCCACATACCCTTTGCTGATTGGATCACATTAGGATCTTTTGAGCTATCCTATGCTCCCTGTTTTAAAGATCTGCACAGTTTGGATTGCATTTCTCTTCAAGGTGTCATGTGGATTGAGTCTACTGTCTGCCAATACATCTGGGATTGGGAGTTACTGCCATTTCGCCACAACTGTAAGTTACAGAGATCACACTTTCAATGCTTAGACTGGGGAGGCAGAACTATAACAGGGTTATTCACAAAAGAGTGAAGAGTTTGGGAGTGAAGAGTGAAGAGAAGAGAACAATCTAGGACAACATAGCTGAACTAGAAAGTGAGCTGAATTGGATAATTTTTCCAAATCAGCTATGTTGTCCAAGATTGTTCCCTTCTCCTGCCTTCTCCA